CTACACAATTAGGTCAAACCTCTCAGGTCCAAGTAAGTCGCTCACCAGATGACCTTTAGTCCGGACACCAGCTGCAAGCTCAGGGTTCTCACACCACTAGCAGCTCTGACCAATTGCTTACACACTTTAAGGCTCTCACTGTCCCCTCAGTGATAGTCTTCTAGAGTGATTCACATATCCCAGGAAGTTCCTTTATTTATGACCCTTTCTTATAAATAGCATATAAATCAGGATCGGCTATAGAAAAACACCATAGGATGAGTTTCCAGATGAAACTTCCAGCTCCTGCAATGCCTATAAGGGATAAGGGAGAAAAATTTACTCACTCAATTGTTCTAGAGGATGAAAAGTCCAAGATCAAGAGTCTGCACATCAGGTTATGACCTTCTCGCTTCATCATGATACAAAAGAAGGCATCACATGGATAAGACACAGAGGGAGAAAGAGGCCTAACTTTCCCTCTATAAGTCCCCAAGATAATAAACAAACCCCTGAGGTAATGATTAATCCATTCACAAGGGCAGCACCCTCATTACCTAATCAACTCTTAAAGGTCCTATTTCTTAACATTGGTGCATTGGAAATTAAGTTCCCAACACATGGACCCTGGGGACTTACAAAAACCACAGCACCACCTCAGAAGGATGTGCCCACCAGCCACTGGCTCCTGCAGGAAAGCCTTATTGGAGCTCAGGCACCTTTTAACACGGAAACTGAGTTACTTATCCTAGGATATGGATACCATTCTGTAATGTGTCCTATACTCATTCCCCTAAGCACATAATCTTTTTCTCATCCAGACTTTGCAACTAGAGTCGCTTCACTCACAAAACTGCAACAACTCATGCTTTGCTCCTGTTGGGTCATCACCTCCACCCCGCTTCCTGGCCCTGACACTTTAAATCATGAGCATGGAACAGGTAGATCTGTATAGACGCTCTCTTAAGTTATGAGCTGGAGGAGTCCCCATCTTTCTCTCTTTTTTTTTCTTTTTATTGAGGTTATTGGTACAATCCAGGTATACAATACAATTACATTCATCGTTGGGATTCTGTACCTTTACATAATAGGTCTTGATTCTCATTTTCCCCCTTGTCCCTGCCCTCCCTTCACCCCCTC